TTCCTATTGCAATCCGTAATAGCAATATGTATGTGTGTGCATGTATATATATTTGGTACTCAAAGGATTTTCTAGTCTTATTTCAAGCAACCAATGACATGTGTGTTAAAATAACCATGGTACTGTAGGACAGTCTTGTAAATACCATATGTCAGAGGAAAAAAATACACGGCTAAATGCATGTCGACTTCAGTTCCTGCAGTTTCGTAGGAGTTCCAGACATGGAAGTTAAGCAAAGCTGGGCCAGCTGAAGGTTCAGTTTTACACAGAGCTTATGCTGAGCTTTGAACTGACAGCTAAGGGGGTGATTAGAAAACTGATCTGGGAAACAGCAGCCTGGAATTAAATTCCTGTTGGACTGTAAATTTCTCACATGGTGTTATGGTGTTGTATTGCCACTTCAGCTTTTTGCATGAGTTCCCAGCAAACCAGAAATACTAGTACTATTCTTGCATTCAATACTTACTTAGACTATCTATCTAGTCTGTAAGCTCTTGAAAGAAGGAAGTGCGTCTGGTAATATATTTGCTTCAGTGAATGCAATTGGATCCTGGAGGTAACAACTTCATAATAGGATACTGAAATAAGAAGCTGGGAAGAAAACTACTGGAACTACAGTGGGAGGGGAAAGATGGACTGGAAGAAGAGTCAAAAAGAGCTTAAGCGTTTATCTTACTGCTCCCAAAGAGACTGCAATCAGTAGATCAAAATCTATACTCCTTAAACATAAGCACATTGCTAGAGGTTCAGTCAAGGCCCACAGTATCCTGGCATCCTCACTGATGCAAACCTCTCTTTCCTGAACAGGTAGTTCTGGCTTCTTCTGAGCTCCAGATCAAAGTCTTGATAAAGTCAATGGCAGGTGCGGTGTTTTTTAATAGGTTCCCACTACTCTTTATTGTGTGTGGATGCAGGAAGGACACAAAAGACCCCTTGCACCCTTGAGGGGCTGCAAGGAAGGGAGTGAAAGACCTTCTATTTAGCTGTTCAGAAAAGGTATTCATATATTTTCTTGGTCATTTACCCAAAATAGGATTGAGATATACGTTTTCCAAAGAATGAATATTCAACCCCTGAGCTTTAAAAAGGATGTATGTGAAGACAAGCCATCTGATCAGGACTCCAGGAAATTCTGTTCATACGGGCAGAAACCGTAAAGAGTCCAAGAAATCAATGACTTAGCTAGTCACATAAAGAAACATTATTAGATGCTTGGCAGTGATCCCAGTTTTATCTCCTCTTTTCTAAGTGTTAGAGGCTTTTAACAATGCAATATATAGTTGGGCATTAAAGATTTTCCCAGTCTTTTCCATATAAGCTTGGCTGACTTCATGAATTTAGTGCTACTAGTAACTTCGGTGAAAATCAGCTGAATAATGAAATGTGCTGGGGAAAAGGATGTAACATGTAATTTACCCATATAAACTGTAATGTTGGTGGACACTATAGTTTACAAAAAAAAGAAAAAAGGAAAAATCAGATAATGCCTTCCACAAGAAAGGTACCGACTTCCTTCTTCCTCTTTTGCCTTAATCTGATGGTAAAGTGGAAATGGGAAGAATGATGAAAAAAACTCTGCTTCTTTGTGTGTTGTGATAAATAAAAAACGATCGAGCTATCATTGAAAATCCATAGCTTTGGATAAAACTGCTTTTGAGGCATGGCCAGAATGTATGCTTCATCAAAAATCATTAGGAGGATACATCAGCATAGGGGCAGTAAAAAAAAATAAATTAGAAAATCTATTTAAGGTATTCAAGTGTTTTCTGAGCATATGGAGCTGGGCAAAAATAGTCCCCTTCTTACAATAGTTCACGATGGGTGAGATTTCTTCAGAGAAATCTTGAAAGAATTGGTGGTAAAAGCTGGGGAAGCTGAGAAACTGCTGAATTCAGCAAACATTTTTAGGGACCATCAATCCAGCCCGTGACCACTAAATCCCTCTTAGATTCATCAGGCACTTTTAGAGATATGCTATAACCCAGAAATTCTTTGAAGTGATCAAAGGCCAATGAAGCAGTATATTTAAAATCAGCATGTATCTGCTGGTGACACAGAAGCACCCTGGGAGTTTCTGTATATGTCCATGCTACAAATACATTACAAAAGAAGCAGAATATCTCTTAAAATGTAATTCCAAAAAATGTTGAAATTAGCCAGGGCAATGCACATGTCAGAAGGTATAAACAAGTAGTCAGAGGTGATATATCTGGCTTTCAGGACTGTTAACTGGTTTTTTGAACTGGTTTATGTTTCCTTCAAGCTTATTTTTGTAAAAGTTTGAGCAATGTACAAATGACACAGTTTTTCAGGGTGATAATCTCTGGTTTTGGTATTAATCTTACAGAGTTCTTGATAGTCACTGCTGGATCTAAGGGAGATATTAACCACTGATAATTTTGCAAAGTGTTTGAATTCATTTTCTAGATTTAGAAAAAGTGATTTCTCACTTAGTTTTAGCACTTGTAGGGAGTAAATGTACACAGATGGAACCTGGGCCCTACACCAATACAACCTGCGTCAGGGAGGGTGTGACAGAGGGACACTATGTCTACTTACAAAAAACAACACAAACATCTTCTTAGGTAACCTGATGTTACCTTTACTGATGTACCTGGGCTGAACAAACAAGAGGTATCAATACTATTATTCTCCTAAAGAATCCAGGAATTGTTCAAGCACCAGCTCAGTTCCTAAAATTACTGAAAGGGGGCTAACTGAGTGAGTTTATCTGATTTCTACCTGTAGCAGAACTAGTGGGCCTATGACATCCATGTTCCTTCTGACTCCAGGCATGGATTTGAGAGGGGCTCAAATAATAACACACAGGATATTAATGTGGGGAGATCATTACTGGTGACACCCCCTGACTTTTCTATTTCAGTTTGTGCAGGTGTCTGTACATATGCAGAAGGTAACAAAACAACCTACACCAAAAGATGTCCCTGGCTCTGCCAGAGTGTTGTTGGCCTTCTTCCACAGCAGCTGTCAGAAGTGGCAGTTCTGTAGAGCCACAGTTTTCTCTGTGTCTGTGAGTAGCCAGCAGGATTCTTCCCAGTTCTCACTTGCCATTTATTCCCCTTGCATTATTTATGTGAATTTCGCTTCTGCCAGCAAAATTTTTCTGAGATATCCCTAGATCAGATAACCTCACTTAGAAATATTTTCAATGTTCTGCAACAAGGCATTACTCTTTTTCTTGAAAGGGACAGAAGAACTAGATTCTTAGAACTGGAGGACAGTATTATGTCGGCATAGTCCATGCTATAGCAGAAGACTGGTCCAGAAAAACAAATTACATCATGTTATAGAAGAGCAAAGTGGCTGATTAACCCAGGCAAACTTATCTGATGTGGTGAAATTAGACTCCTGAAGAGCTGCTGATCTGTCCTTTTGCTCCTGATCAGACTGCTAATGGAGCCAGGGCAGTGGTGTCTCCCTGGCATGCTGGTTTTCACCTGTGTGTGGAGTTAAAGAGGCTGCTCACAGAGCCTTATCACAAAAGCTGAAGCGACCTTGGTGTGACGTCCTACTGTCTGCGTTGTGCAGGCTTGCAAATAGTGCATGGACCGTGGATGCTGTCCGCAGACAGACTGCCTGCTCCAGGAGGTTTTAGCAGAGCATTTATCATTCTAGTAAGGCAACTGGGAGATGAGGATTCTGTCAAAACCTCAGGAAGCAGACTAGTAAGCTGCAGAGGCCTTAATAGGGATTTTAAAATTGGATGCAGAACTTACAGCATAGACAAAGATTTTGAAAGATAAACAGCATCAGCTCTTTCTGGATTTCAAGCACAGCTTTAATTGTTTTTCAAAGGAATCAGCAAAGGTCACCCTAGCTGGAACAAACTCTGAAGTACAATTAGGAAGATTTCAAGTGTATAGTAGTTTTGGAAATAATCAGGCATTTTCATGCTTGAAGATACTGTAGCAAGTGATGAATAAAGCCTTTCTGTGTCAGCACTGAGTACTGTACTCTTGGAGTCAGTTACAATACAGGCTGTATGTGTTCCCCTATGATGAACTTCGCCATCCTCATTAAAACTGATGTGCACATTTGATTTCTAACCCTAAACAATTGTACCCATATCACTCTCGATCAGAAGAACAAGTTGTTTACCGCTAATACCTATAGTGTGTGGGATGCTCCCCTTCTCCTCCTTTTCCCCTCTCTTCCCTGCTCCACCCAACCATCCCAACAGCCTGTGACAGACTAGGAACACTACTTTAACTGTTGCAGAATCCCTTGGACCTTGCATAATGGAAATTATTTGGGTCAGCAAATCTTGTTTCCTAATTATAGGAATGAAAAGGGGGTGGGGATAGAAGATATATAATGTGAAACCATTCCCTTATTCTGGCATTTTAGCTTTTAGAAACCTGGGATAACCTACTCATTCCCATCCATTTGGGGTGTGCTGTGTTTTAACCTTGAAGTTGGAGCTCCCTCTCCCCTCTTCAAATCCTTTCCCTCTTCTCTCCCGCCTCCTCTCACCCCCCCTTCTTCCTTTTCTCTCCCTTCCCCCCTCCTCTCCTTCCCTCTCTTTATCGTCTCTTCTCCCCGTCCTCTCCCTGTCTTCTTCTTCTTTCCCTTTCCCCCTCTCTCTCTCCCCCTCTCTTCTCTTCTTTCCCTCCCCTTTCCTTTTCTTCCTCTCTCTTCTCCCTGTTTTTTCCCTCTCCTTTTCTTTTTATCCCTTTCATCCCTTTCCCTTTTTCTTTCCCTCTCCCTTTCCTCTCCCTCTTACTCTCCTCTCTTTTCCCTGTCCCCTCCCTCTGCCCGCAGCTCCTCTCACACCGAAGCACAGGAACCCTCCTGCTCCCGAACCCCTCTCGCTGGGGCATCAATCGCGCCCCGTCCCTGGTGCTGTCCCCCATCTCGGGGAGCAGACAATGACGGGCTCAAACGAAGCCGTGTCCCTCGCGGTCACCGCGCCGCCGGCAGCCCCCGGACGGGCGGGTCTTGCGCCCCGGAGAGCGCCCCCCGCCACAGGGCGGAGCGCTGGGCCGCGGTCGGGGCGGAGCGGAGAGGAGCCGGGGGGTGCGGCGGGGACGGGCGCCTGTTGCCCCGAGAGAGTTAACGGAGCGGGGGAACGCGCCTCTCCTCCGCCCGTGCCGGGCGCCTGGCAACCGGGGCGCCGCGCATGTAGGGGCGCCGGGGGCTGCCACCGCCCACTCCCACCGGGCCCCCGCGTCCCCTTCCCCGCCCCGGACAAGGCGTTTAACGTGCCCAGGCGTGAAGTATGGCATGCAAAGATGGTTTCTGCCAAGGAGCCAGCCATCGCCATGTCCTCGGGTCTCTCCATCGCCCTCCTGCACTACCTGTGCCTGGCGACGTGGTGAGTACCCCGGGCAGCGGCGGGGGACCCGGGGCGGCCGGTACTGGGGGTCCCGACTGCTCCTCTCATCCGATCCCTCTTTGCCTCGCAGTCTCACCGGGCCGCCAGGGCAGATCAAAAAAGAGGAGAAATTGTGGCCGGAGAATTTCACCAGCATCCTGAACAGCCTCCTGGATGGCTATGACAACCGGCTGCGACCGGGATTCGGGGGTACGGTGGCGGTGCGGTGCCGGCGGAGAAAGGGGGTGCGCCTGGCAGGGTCGGGGGGGGTGCAGCACTCGCCGACCGAAAACGTGTGTGTGGTCGCCCCTGTCGCCCAAGTCCCGTTCTCCGCTTCCTGGGTCCCAGCCTGTGGGCAGGGAAGGGCCGGCAGCGAGGCAGCTCCTGGTCCCGAGGTCGCGGGGGAAGGCTGAGCAGCCCCGGCTGTGGGGGCCGAGCAGGGGCGGTCCCGGGCTCAGCCCCCGCTCCGCTGTGCTGCCCACAGCCCGGGCTCAGGCGGCTACGGCTGCCGCGCTGGCGGGGGCAGGAAGGCTCTGGAGCCGGTGCGGGTTGGCTTGGCGGAGGTGGAGGGGACCTGTCTAACATCCCAATTCTTCTGGTTCTTGGCAGTTTTGACCCCTGAATGCCACGGACCGGGTCCTAGTAGAAACAAATGTACTTTTACCAGCCTAAAAGGTCAGGTCTCTGGTGGGTTCTCTTCCGCTAGTTAGGGAAAACCAGAGGTCAGGTGTTTGAGCACACCAATCTTTACCGCAGTTGCTCGGATTCTTTGATTTAGAAGTAGTAAACCTAATTGCCGTATTAGAAGTGGAGGAGTCTTGAGTTTGCCTTCATCTGTGCTCTGCATTTTGGGGGAGGGGATTGAGCCCCAGGCTGTTAAGATGCAGTTTTGTGCTGCTGAAGAAGCAGCCAGATTTGAAGTTCTTTATCGGGTTTGATGTTGCTGTGTAGGGACTTGAAACTAGAAGTCATTAAGATTTAGACAAAAAAGTTTATTTTCTAATCTGTAATGGAGATGTTAAACATGCAGAAATAAAAGTGGGTTTGGGGGGAGGAGTTGGTTTTTTTTTTTTTTTGTTTTAGTTTTGGGGGTTTTGTTGTGTTTTTGTTTTGTTTTTTTTTTTTAGTTTATAGTTTTATAGACTGCTTCCTATGCAGGACTGAATGAGATCCTTGTGTAGGTTTATGCTGCTATATACTTTCTTCCTCCTCTGAAAGTACCTTCTTTATACACGTGATCCATCTACACTGTCATGTGTGCCAACACGTTCCCCCATGCCATGTACAGTTCTCGCATGCATGATCGTGATTGTTAAAGGACAACACCTGACATTGGTGATCACCTTCTTTATTATTTTGAGTGTATAGAATGAATGAGGGCTTCTAGGAGTTAGCTAACACTTTAAGTGAGAAGGAAGCTAAATTTGTTAGCACCCAGAGGAATCATTGGGAACTGGTAGCCTTTTGCAATTTAGTCTCTGTGAAGAGGTTACAGACACTTCTGCAAGCGTACAAGAGATGTGCTATGTTTGGCATTATTTTAGGTTGAATGCCAACTAATTAGTCATCTAGCAAAGATGCTTTATGAGCATTATCAGACTTCCAAAATTAAACAACTACTAAATATGTAATATGATTTACAGTTTATGTTAATTTTTATTTTAATACAGTTGTTCTTTGCAGGATATTTTGCAAGAGAGGATCTTTTTCCCAAGAAGTGTTGCAGGCTTTCAGCAAAATGCTAACAAGGAGAAAAAGTTCATTATACCTCCTTGAACTTTCATAATGAGAATATTGAAGTAAATGGTAAAGGAAGAAAAAAATTCAGATTTCAGTCTGGGAAAAACAATTCTGGGTGAATATCTCACAAAATTGATATTTTGTTTTTTTTTTCTTGCTTCTTCCACTCATCTTTGAGTTTATAAGTAAAATATGGGGTTGGGGGGGGGAATGCTTTATTTTTGGAAATGATGCTTGCCTCCCTAACTCTTTACCACAAAAGTTACCTTCACCTGATTTGTCAAGAAGAACTCTTAAAGAAAGCAAACCAAAATCAACCAAAGAAAGACATTTCTGCAATTGGTCAGATTTGATTTTTTGGCATAACTCAGAGCAATAACTATGGATTACTTATTAAAATATACACTGTCCAAATCAAGTTTTCCCTGTTTTTTTTCCTGATAAATCTGAATGACAAATGGGACTTGTATCTTAAAAATGGGCCACTCAGTAGTTTATAGCATAGGAAACAAAATGTCAGAGGGGATGGGAATATTTAGAAGTGGAAAGTATAGTGCGTTTTGGTAATGTTAAAACTGCATCACTTTCTGATGAACAGCAGAATATTTATTTTTGTTTTATTCTTGGGGCTGATTCACCATCTAGTTTTCACGTGGCTCGGAATGAAACGAAGGTTTTATTTTAAGAACAAAAGGCTGCATAGAGGTCTGACTGATGCTGATTTTAAACTTCAAATTAATGAAAACATTTCCAATTCTGGCACAAATGATGTTTAAAATCAGACTTGGGGAAGTAGCCAAATTCAGAATTTTGCTGGCATCTTACAGAGTTTCCACAAATAATAATTCATGCAGGTTTTTTGCATGCAGAATGAAGTAGAAGACTTTGGAAGATTTTGGAGATTTCCTGCAACTGGATCCAAATTCACCATGCGATCATGAATTAGCACAATTTGGGGTGGTTACTGAAGAGAAGTTAAATCGCCTGAGCATGCTTACAAATATGGAAATGGCCTGTCAGGAGGGTTTTGAAACTTAGAGGGATCTTGTCTTAGTACTTTTCATGCAGAAGCATGGCATATATTGAGTGTTAATACAAGAATGGAGTTCTCTGTGTCCTTGGATAGCCACCTTGCATTACAAACTCGCTTTATTAAATGGACTTAAGAAAACCTAATAACTTGCTGACACTTAGTAAGCACTGTCAGCTTTGGTAGTCTAACAAACAAATCCAGAAGGGTTTAGGAAAAAGAATATTAAAGACCACTTAAGTTTGGGCAGGTGGAGAGGGAATCTAAAGAAGCAAGAGAGAAACGAAGAGATTTCACCTAGAAATTTGATGAAATGAAGCAGAACAGGCTTAAAACCCCAAACAAACAACTTCGCTGCTGTCAGGAAGACTTTAAATGCGTAAGAGTTTTGAATTTCAGTAGAGGGAAGGAATTTAGGGACTAATGAATAAAGTAATAATGTAAGATGTTTGAAAATTAGTGTGGTGGAAATAAAGTCAGTTCCATTTCCTGCACTTGTATGCCCCATTATATCTTTATCCTGAATTTCAGAATGCAATTTGTAATGCATGTTGGTTTAGTGGTCTAAATCACTTTATAGGAATGGGGTGTTTACAGAAGCCACTTGTAGTGTGATTTAGAGTGGTTTACAATTGGACTGGATGATTTTAAAAGGTTTTCTCGTAACCTAAATGATTCAGTAATTAACTAAAAGCATTACCTGCTGGAAAACTTCAAGAGTGCTACTGCAATGCTGTTTTGATTCAGCTGTAAAACTGAAGGAAAAGCATTTCTAGTTATACCCTGGCCCCAGTTTTCATCTGCTTTAAAAATTTTGAATATGATGCAAAAGGAAACTATGGGCAGTTGCAAAAACCTGGATTTTCTCTGAAAATTGTTACCGTTCTACTGCTGATTAGTGTCAAATTGATGGTAGAAGTCCAGAGACTTATAAAAATTAGTATTATTTACTTGAAGTGAAAGGGCCTGGGTCTGATTTTGCATTTTAAACACTTGCATGGTTTCAGACTTTACCTGAGCAGCTAGCTTGTGACATAAAGAAGGGCCTGTTAGATGTGATTCAAACCTCTGTACGGCTTTGTAGTTTGAAAAAAATATAATGGTGTCTTTGAAACTTTCGTGATACAGTAACTCATCACACTTCAGCCTCCTCTAAGGGAAGGAAGAAGGAATGGAGGGGCTGAAGCTGGTGAGGGCAGCATTGTTGTGTGCTGCCATGTATCTGCTAATTTCAGTGAATTGTGCCTTTTAGAGAACATCTCATCTCTTGCATCTTGCTTTTAATGGCCAGTTGTATGACCAGACCAAAAACACAAGGTGGTGTGTGACAGCGCTCCTGCCCAATACTCTTAGGTTGACTGCAGAACCCGCTGACAGCTCTGAAGAAGCAGGCAGCATCACCCACAGCATGTTACTGCTTGTGGTGTGGTTGTCCATCATTGGTGAAAGCTGAAGCTCTCCTTCCTCTTGAGTTCTGTTTATTTGTGTGAGCTAGAGTCTGATATGAGCTGCAAGTCTCACTATCAGGTAGTGAAATGGGATAGCTCCATGGCTTTCTGTTTGGAAATTGCCACGTACACTGGCTTGCGAGTTAGAAGGAACAAGACTGTGTTAATTCATTTTTCTTCTTCTTTTCTTTCTCTTTTCATATTCTTTCTCATGATCTTGTACTTGTGAAAGTGCAGCTGAGTACTTGGTAGAATTAGATATGTTGCCCATTGTCTCCCCTAAGAAGGGAAGGAGAGGACTTCTCTGCCCCTTCTGGGCTGTGTGACGTTCAGCTGATGAACAGCATTTCTGAAGAGTTTCATTTCCTGTCACTGCAGGAGGAGTGACTTTAGTCAGAAAATAAACACAGAATAAATCTGAAGAGCAAAAGCAATTTTCTGTTTTTAGAGAAAATAAAAATATCTATGTGACTCTATGCTCTTATTAGCAATACATGTGGACCTTCAAGGTTCCATTGCTCAGCATAATAGGTATTTTCATTTATTTGGGGTTTTTTTTTAGGTTACAAATGGACTTGAAGTGAGCATTGTAAAGTGAAGCTGATTGTTTCTTTTTTTCAGGCAGTTGTCCAATCTTCCTCAGCTGGTGAGAGTAGATGACTCAGGCTTAACAGGATATGGTATTAGATACCTGTAGTTGGCTGATTTGAATTTGGCCCAGGTTAGTAATGCTTGAAGTCATTACCATCTGTCTGTTGTGCAGTGACCTATATAAAACTTGGTGATATTCTTAGTCCAATTCTTAGTAGACAGGTGTCCACATCATGAAAACTGGCACCAGTATCAAGCTTGTTGGCTGTCTTAGCAGAGATTATTGATAATGAGCAGGCAAAGGAACAGTAATCTCATATCTAGAAGTATGGTTTTTATTTTCAGGGTTCATACATGATAATGGATGAACATATGTAGAGACAAAGGCAGTTTTGTGCTGCTGTGTTTGTCTTTTGGTAGAGAATGTAGCCCACATGTTTGAATTCCACGTGTTTGAATTAATTTTTAAAAAATGCCCTATCTAGTTGTTCTGACTTCCTAACAGAAGTATGTTCTTACATATAGTATGTGTCCTCAGCTGTTCTTTCTGATAGAATGAAATGAGAACACACTTCATATGATGGCTTTTTTTTCAGTGAAAGAAAAGAAAAAAAAAAAAAGAAAAAGAAAAAGAGATTAATCCTGTCCAGGCAGCAAGAATTTGCAAGAAGGAAACACCAAATCCGTCACGTGTAGTTATATTTAACAAATAAATCTATAGCAAATACTTTTTTTTTTTTTTTTAGATGTTGCTGTAAGAACTGATGTAATATAATTCCATGTAGTTTATGTATCCTGGGACTGATCTCATAATAGCAGAAATAACTGCACTTAGCATTTAAATTGTACTTCATGTGTTGAAAGCTTTGTATAGGCTTGTTTGCTAATGTTCCTGATTGGCTGTGTGACTCTTGATGGCAAAATTTGCAATATAGAGAAAGCCTGTGGAGGATTTGACTGTTTACATACAGTGGAGATTTCTGCAGTGACAGTTGCCTATGGAGACGCAGCGATAATGGAGCCCAAAGTCTTTCACTGGGAGCTGTGCCGCAGTTCAACCCATATGTTGGCATAAAATCCATGGGAGAGCTGTCTTAGGTACCTCTTCACAGGGTTAGGGCCTGGCATCGCTTCTTCAGCCCACATGTAACATCACTGAACTATTCTGGCTTTTTGCAGGGGTTGCTTTTAATCCTGCCCTATCTTCTTTAAAGTGTATTATCTTGCAAGCAGTGATTCAGACTTAACTGTTCCCACTGCAGTGTGTAGGACTCTCCTCCTATTTCATTGACATAAAAATACACACCAGTATGTTATAAATAGTTGTTCATCATTCCTGAAGATTTATGGTTGATAGGTACTTTCTGAACATCCACTGAGGGATGAGCCCAAATGGTCATATTTAAAGTTAATTGGCCTTCTTACAACTCACTGCATTTTATTGCCAGTAATAGAGTGTTAAGGATTCCAATAGGATCTTTTGCTTGCAGTGCATGGGTTGATTAAGTGGGGCAACACATTCCTTTTGGAGGGCTGCTTAAATCACCAGTAAAAGTAGGTTAGGTGACTGCAGATCACCCCCTCGTTGACAGGAATTCCCACAATTAATAATAGTTAAAAAAAGGATAAAGAATAAAAAGTATGACTCACTGTTTGTACCCCCGCTATTGTTACCAACTGGAGTTATGTTTTCTTCTAGAAAAAGAAGATAAGGGATAGGTTTTGGTGTTGCCATAGGTACTCCTGGGTTGGCATTAAGTACTGGGATCTGCTAGAAAATACACAAGATTTGGCCTTAACAGTGATAAAGTGACAATGCAGGTGGAAGATGTGGAGCACAACTGAGCTGCAGTTGAAGAATTAGGGAGATAATCAGCTCCACTGTCCCTTGCTGCTGTCATTGCTTCTACCAATCATTTTACTGTTTGCCCACGGTTTTGAATGCAAAGGGAGGATTTGCATATCAGTACTAGGTGGATATCTTTTATGATGCCCCAAATATTTCTAGATCCTCATTCATCTGCCATTTTCTAGTGGCCTAAAATGTGTTTTTAACGTTTTGTCACTGTACTGCCATCATGTCAGGCAAGCAACCAAAGTAAACTTTAATTTCCACCTATTTTGTGGCTTCTTTATTGTCTGAGATTTCCTGCTTCCTTCTTTCTCATGGGACCTACTAATAACTAAAGGTTTGAGAGCAGAATAGCAGTTAACTGAAGAATGAACTTGAGCATAGTTTTAGTCCTGTGCTCCTGCTTCAGGCTTTCTGATAGATTTAAGTTGTTGACTTACTGGTTTGGAAGTTAACTTCTTGATCTTAGCTCTCCCCTTCTTTCTGAGAAACTCCAAAAAAATGAATTTGCAAAAAGCCTCTGAACATTTATTGCTCATGAAGCTGTAATCATTTAATAAAACAAAAGAAATTAATGCCTGAGGAGAGGCAGCACATGCCTGTGGGAAAAATCTGCCCCATTGCTCAATTTGATATGATTGTAACATCACAGTGTTCTCTGAGCTAAAGAAAATAAGATATTGCCAGAGGAAAGCAGTTAAAGGTTTGAGGAATATTCATATTTAGTTTCTTACAACTAACAAATAAAGCAGTTTCTGAATTTTCTTATTAGAGCTACATGGGAAAATGACTTTTTCGTTTTTCTAGAACTTTGATTTCATAAATATTTCATTTATGTATTTATATATTTAAGTAAGTATTTATATATTGAAACCAGCCCTAGATACATTACAGTCTTGTGATTATGGGAGGTCAGATATGATTGGATCTTTTCTGTCTATGTACGACTGGGCTTTTCTTGCCTTTTTTCTAATGATACAGAAGAATGTCTTCGCTTTTGGTATCTTGACAGCTCTAGTATGAGTTTGTCTAATCTCTTGGAGCTCTTCTGCTCTCCAAAAATAATTGTATTCAGGAGATGTCACTGGACTATGTAATCAGTAAAATGAGTGGCCTAAACACTCATGGATTTCCCTGACCTAATGAACACTTCATTATTTGTAGAAGGAGCACAGCTTCCGTTTGACATGTTTAGAGAGCAGCCCATTGCAAAACAAACAGCATAGTATGAAAGTGTGTTACCTGGAGCTTGGAAGTTTCTTCTTAAAGCCTCTTCAAGACAGTCATGCCAAACTGTCTGACTTTCCATGTACCACTGAGACATCAGCTCTTATGGGTGAATTTCCTTCAGATTTTTTCTCATAAAAATGTCTTTCTGTGAAGCTGTTAACCTCCAGCAAAGTTGGTTTCTGACATTTAGCTTAAAAATTCATAGCTGTTCTTCTCTATGAAACTTGCAAACTTTTTACTGAAATAATTTTATGTGGCTTTATTTTACTTTTTTTTCCACAGTTTAATACTTGTTCTAGGTGCAAGAAGCATGGGTTCCCTGTTTTCCAGTTGCTTATTTCTTTTTCTCCTTTACTGTTTGATTTGGTGACATCTGTCAACAGTGTTTTATTTTAATATTGTTTTTTCTTTCTTAGAGAGAAACAGCTGCTAACAGTCTTAAGTCATCCTTTCATTTTTAGATTGCAAATACTATGATAATGCCTGAATTAGGAGACTCAAGCCAATTATTCTCTGTAGAAATTTGAGCTGTAGGGGTTTCGAAACTGTGATTGTGGATTTGTATATCACAGGTTGTGGTTTTTTTTTTCCCAAACAGATATGTTTATTATGTGAGTTAATTATCTGAACTAAACCATTAGCTAATGCTTTGATTGCAGAGTTATCATAATAGCTGGTAATGTTTAGCATCTTTCTAGCCTTTTACATTGGGCACAGACCTAAATTACAGTGAAATTAGTTAGCTCATATGCTCTTTGGCTTAAGGGGGACCGTAGAGTGAATGCCCATCTGAAATTTCAAGGTGTTTTGTCCTGTAGTAAACAAAATAATACGTTAAAATGAATCTGCTTTCTCTGATGGTTGCTATGCCATATCCAACTGTGAAAGCGCAAGGCCACTGCTCAGAGCACTTAACAGTGTCTGAGATTATCATCAGTTCTTTCATGACAGGCTTTGTAATAGCATGTGCACCTAGGTTTAGACCATCAAAAAAGCTTAGATATCAAATTTTTACTTATATTGTTAATGTTAAAGCAGTTAAGGACATCTCAGTATATGGGTGCCGGTCTTGATCCTGCATTACTGACTTGCCCAGTGCATGGCATGCTAATATCTGTAGTCCTATTATTACCAGTAGGACCAAATGTTAGTAATAAATACCTTTGAGAATCTGGATTTCCTGAATTCAGTGCTTGTTGTTAATTAGTGTGGTGTTTTCAGTGAGCCTTTTAATTCTTTGGCATCTGTTTTCTTATCTGTTGAGTCAACATTGGTTTTCTGGATGAGGATTTGCATGGAAATTCTGCCTTTGATTTACATACGTGGTAAAGGTAATTGAGCAGCTCTTGTTATTAGAGACTTCTCCGAAATGACTTGTGTTTGCATTTTGCTCTTGCTTGTCCACAGAACCCTCAAAGCAGTAACTGTTCACACATCAGGATCCTTTATGGGAATTGTTGACCTGCAAAATTCAAATTTTCTTGCTCACTTCCTTTTCATACATTAGGTCCTGTTACTGAAGTCAAAACAGATATATATGTCACCAGTTTTGGACCTGTTTCTGATGTAGAAATGGTATGTATTTCTGGGATTAAAATGCCGTTTCCTGGTTCTGAGAAACCATTAACTGCACTAAGGGGGGGATGCTTCATCTGTACTGTTCTGTCAATCATGCAGTGTAGGCAAGAATAGTAACAGCTTAATTTACACGTTATAATTAGATACAACAGGCCTGATTCTGGTCACACTTTCACTTTTGGTTGGCTTAAGGAATTCAGATCATAGGATTTAAAACAAAATGGTGGAGAGGCAGAATCAGGCCTTATGGGGAGCATCTAAGTCAGTCTGCTGTGGGGAAAATGTGTAATATCTTTGAAATTGCTTTTCCTTTCTGAAGCTTGTATTATTCCCAGGGGAATAATAATGACATCATTTCACAAATACTTGATATTTTCATTTCAGATGAATACTATTTGCTGATCTTTGTGCCCTTTTAGCATCAGTTTCAGCAAATGTTTGACTGATAAAGAGTTTTCATAAATGTCTGCAGAAATTAAACATCAAAGTGACATGCATGAAATAGTCACAGAAGAGAAATGTTACATTTGCATGTACTGGTTTTTGTGCCTGAATAGCATCTGCATTCAAGGTCAAATCCAGCAGAATGCTCATCAGCTTCTATAATCCAGGGGTACAACCTTAAATCATACAGTAGTTTCTATTAATATCCAAGAAATCCCATGGAAGTAGCATAGCCATATCTGCTGAACAGAACTTCTTTAAGGGAAAGGCAGTTTTGCGGCAGTACCTTTCTCGCCATACAGTACTGTCATGCACTTTGTGGTGCACCTGATTGGGTGCTATCATGTGGAAAGATATGTGATAGCAAGAGATTTTTTTCAAGGGCTACATTCATGACAGCAGTCTCATGTTGAAATACATCTTACTTCTTCAGTATTTGTCATGTACAGTATGATACTGTTCAGTGTGACAAGGGTACAAGAATCTGGTCCCAGGGAAATTCAGTAATGTGTGCCTCAAGTCTAAAATGGGGGCTGTACAGCATCTCAGGTTTTATTGAAGTATTTGACATGGTGCTGCATGGGAAATTATTAGTTATATTGGAGAAGGCAAGAGTGAGAACATGGACTGAAGGTAGGTAAGAAGGTGGCAAAAGGAAAGTTTATAGCTGAGGCTAGTCAGGGATCCAGGAACTGGCTTTGGAATCATAGAATCATAGAATAATTTAGTTAGTGTACCCATTAGTGACCCAATGTGATCTGAATGTGGCTGCACTCATGAAACTTGTTGGAACAGTGAAGAGTGGCAGTCTTGGTACAGGGGATGGTCAGAATGCCTTTTTAGAGCTGGGTTACTTTGGTACCCAGTGTAATGAAAACAGTTTAAATATTACAAAATCTTATATTACAAAATTTGTCACGTAGAAGCTAATAACAGAAAGTGCTGCTTATGAGCTACACCAGCAAGAAATGACACTAGATAAGACTTTTCATAGATTAAGTATAAACCAAAGTGGGGGATGCAGCCATGGAAGACAGAAGTAATTCTGAGATGCACTACATTATAGACATTCCTCCTTGATGGTGAGAACAGATATGGTCATACAAGTAGTTTCAAAGGTAATGTCATGCAGAAGATTTTCAAATGAAGTCGGAAAACATTGGCTTAACACCAAAATCACAGCTGTAAGTTAGAAAGGAGTTAAAGGTTTTTCTATGCCACATGATGACTTTTTTTGTGTGACATGCTTTAGCTTCCCAAGGTGAGAAATGCATTCCTTTGTCCATTCATTCACGTATATTTCCCATGATGTGCCTGTGTCTGCAGTTCTGTAGTTGTTTGCATGTTTTCTTTGGAGCTTTTCTGAGGAATTTACTGGGATACTTATGTAGTTAAAACCAAATGTGTATATATGTAAGAAGGTCCTTTCCAACCCTAACTATTCTATGATTCTAGATATGATTTATTATCCATGTTTTGTGAGTATGGCAAAGGAAATATTTAGCTTTCCTCAGTTAAAAGCTTACTTTCCATGAGTTGAAATTAAATTGTCTTTCCTAAATTTAAAATGGAAGTAATTGTTTGTCATGGTATTTTTAATTTAGCCAGCAGCAGAAAATCCATGGATGCCTTTTCTTTAAGAATTTATTGACACTTATTGTCAGACATCATTTTGTTTCTGGTTATATGCTTGACTACAAATCTAGTTGTCCTCTTCCTGCAATCTAATTAGATAAATTATTCCCTAATGATTAAATATGTGTAGCAATTTATTGATATGACTAATGTGGAAAATTAAGCTATTAAGAAGTACATAACCCACCTTAATTGCTGTAAATGTTTGTATCGTGGACTTAGCATTTTCTTTACTACTGATTTCTTTGCTTCTGAGGGATTTCTTTATTTCCAGGAAACACAAGAAAATGTGATCTTTGTTTTTCTGCAAATTTAATACAGGAATATACAATGGATGTCTTCTTCCGTCAGACATGGGTAGACAAAAGGTTAAAATATGATGGCCCTATTGAAATTTTAAGACTTAACAACTTGATGGTTTCAAAGGTGTGGACTCCTGACACTTTCTTCAGGAATGGGAAAAAGTCTGTTGCACATAATATGACAGCCCCAAATAAACTCTTCAGAATAATGAGAAATGGCACCATCCTATACACAATGAGGTATTTCATCACTTTGTTTGGCTTCTTACAATTATTGTATGCAAAAGTTATGATGCCCAGACAAAATGGCAACCAGAGACTATTTAATTTGTTCCATTATAGGCTTACAATAAGTGCAGAGTGTCCCATGAGATTAGTGGATTTTCCCATGGATGGTCATGCTTGTCCTCTCAAATTTGGGAGTTGTAAGTTGCAATTATGAAATTTCTTGTAACTACAGAATTTAAATAGTAGAAGTAGATTTTGAGCAATTACTAAACTTTCTGAATATTGATACACAATCCTTATGCAGACAAAACTCCTGTTAACTTCCTTGGGAATTTTATTTAAGGCCTCAAAAATTAAATCCAGGCAGAGAACTGAAAACTGGGCAGTGATTCAGCTACTACCCCACTATTCTGGCTACACAGCTGCTTGAAATACCTAGTTGTTCTTGGTTCTTAGGGAGATATTCAGTGAAGTGTGAGATTTCTGGAGAAGAAAATGAGGGTGGATCCATCTCAATTTACAACAGTCAGGTGAAAGGCACCTAGGGAAGGAGGTTATTTGATTTTCTCTGCAGTTAGTGCAGGCGCATTGACATCCTATGGTAGATATGTAGGTTATGTGCAGAGATCTGATCTTTACTCATGGCCTGTAACAGGATTCTGCATGGCAAGTTTAGACTAGATAACTTTTAGACTGATTAGAAGAACCTTAGTGCAGGGGGTTGGAACTTGATGATCTTAAGGTCCTTTCCAGCCCTAACTATTCTATGATTCTATGATAATCTCCAAAGTTTGACTAGCAGGAACATTTTGCGACATACTGCTTAACAACCGAGGTAGTTATGATTCCTCAATTTGAATTCACAGCAGAGACCTCTGAGACTGCCTGGGGATGGTTAGTGCACTAGATTAACTATCTGGTCACTCTTCTAAGCCTCTTCAGTCACGGACCTCTGCTTTACATGGTCAGTGCCTAGATATTAGTCTGTTTTCTTTGACCCCAGAGTGGTGAGGTTAGAAATGGCTGGAAGCTCCTCATAGTATTTCCTTAGCATAAATTTAGCTTACACAGCTGGGTAGTCAATCAAAAGGGGGTTTTAAAGACACTGCTCTGATAAGGTTTGTCATCCCTTTTATGGTGAGACTGGAGACCAGGCACTGCCAGATCTGGCTTGGTATCAGCTGTTTTATACTGGAGCTTCAGGAGCGAGGGCTTCTCCACAGGCATATTTCTTAAGGCAGAATCACGAGCCAGCAGAAATTGTGCTTGACGCTAACCTGATAATTTTCCTCAGTGAAACTTGAAATAAGATGTAGCCATTTCAAATGCAAGACTGATTTAATTTAATTGTAACAGGAGTTTGGGCTGTGTACGGATTGAATGCTAGCCCTAAGTTATGTCTTTTGTATTAAATGTAAAATGTTTCTTTGGCTGTGCTTATTTTTGGGCTGTTGTGGTTTTTGTACTGACTTCCGGTTCTGGCAAATATTTTAAACACAAGTTTAAAATATTGAAGTTTTTAGTATACTGTATTTTTTAGAATATATTATACTATAGTTTTTAGTATAATCATTCTTTTCTGTAAAGAAATGTGCACCTGGTCTCCAAAATGTATCCTCCTTATATATATTCTATTTATAAATTAGTATATTTTAATGATAAAAATTTCAAAGTAATTTAACGATAAACTTTACATGCCCGATAAGGGCTAATCCATAAAGAAATCATGTTTAGACTTTGCATTCACAGTGAATTTGTGTGTGACACTTGACATATGACTTTAGCTGCTATTTATTCTCCTCTGAGGGTGGCTTTTGGGGCTAACTTAATATGAAGGGTATCTTCTGAAGTTGTTAGTGAGAGTCTTACTGTTTCAGTAGGTTTGGATTGGGCTTTTTGTAAGGTGTGAGAAGTTTCCTATTTACACAAACTGATGCTGTGTTGTAGATGCTTATCCAAAGAGTGAAATGATTTATACCTGGACAAAAGGACCTGAGAAGTCAGTGGAAGTTCCTGAGGAGTCTTCCAGTTTAGTACAGTATGACCTTCTTGGGCATACGGTATCCACTGAAACCATTAAATCTATTACAGGTAGGAATCTCATCAGTAAAAATCAACTTGAGGTAAAACTAACCCTGTAACATCGCCCAAAGTCTCTTTCTTTCCTTCTTGTAAGGTGTTCTACCAAATGTCAGAGGGTATATATGAAGGGCTGAGGACAGAAATCTGAATTAGGTTTCTGTCCTTCAGATTTACATTTGCAGATTCATTACAGTAGATTGCTATGGTCTTTCAGAAAGCTAAAAATGAGATCATTACTCTAAGAGACAAAATAAGCGTTTAATCACTGCTTAAAATGCAGTTTGAAGAGTCAAGAGGATGCCTGGGTGAGGAAGTAATTTCTCACTACTGTATCCACATTATGTGCAAAAGACTTCCTTTGTTTGGTGGTGCAAACAGCTCGAGATAGAAGTACAGCATACAGAATGGGTTATTAAAGCCATAAAAACCCTCTAGTCAGATAAGGATAGGCAAAAATGCATTAGTCACAATATAGATACTTCTGCTGATTTGTGCTGTAAGAAGTAAAGCAAATGGCAACTACAGGCATCTGAAATGAGCGAAGTATCACTGATGAGCAGTATGGCGATAAACAAGCATATTCCCAAAATGTTTTTAAAATTTGGAATAATTTACTAAGCATCAGCAAGTTTGCGTGTTGTGAGGTAGTCAAAATGAAGCAGAGAAAACAAATATATTCGATGTATTGCTCTATGGATGTTTTTCTCAAAGATAAAAAAGCATTTTGCAATACACTAGCAGTTTACTTCTAAGCATATTGATTATGATGAGTTAACAACAGAATTTCCTTACTATTCCCAAAATTCTCATTCTGTAGTGCTTTATTTAGACAGTTTGCTCAGTTTATGGTGAATCAGCAATTATTTTTTTGTTTAATATGAATGTTAACATTTTAGATAAAGTTACAGTATTTTTAATTCTTATTAGTGATTTTTGCATGTGTTTCATTATCATAGTGATGCTGACATATAAAACTAGTAAAAAGCTGAAATGCTTCCATAACATTTAATGTGTATCATTGTTGTTGTTTATTTGGCAGATAGGTACCACAATGTTAGGGATACTATGGTGGGTAGGTAGCTTGTGTCTTTGGGCTCTTTTCATACACAGCTGCTAAGGGAATTTTTAAAATCATGCTAATACTATAAAATGTAATCCAATATTAGCTGTACGTTTATAGTATTTTGGATATCAACGTCTGAATGCCACTGTTAGGATCTACTACTTCCAGGATATTTGTTTAAAACTTTCATTCTTGACTTTAAGGAACATATCTTTCTATACATGTTATGAATAGCATCAAGTGAAACAATACTAGTTGATAATGGGAAACACTTATTCTGAACGCAGATTTTTTGCACAGTCAGAAAAATATTTTCTTTTACTTATCTATTTTTTCTAGGTGAATATGTTGTTATGACAGTTTACTTCCACCTCAGACGAAAAATGGGTTATTTTATGATTCAGACCTATATCCCATGTATTATGACCGTGATCCTTTCTCAAGTTTCGTTTTGGATAAATAAGGAATCTGTTCCAGCTAGAACTGTGTTTGGTAATTATTTCTTTTTTTCTTTTTTCTTGTACTGCTTTATTGACTTACACTAGAATAGGCCTTTTTAGCGCATTGGGGTATATTGCCTTCATACTAGTGCAGAAACAAGGGAATCATATAAATTCAGAGAAATTTTTGCTGTCAATGTATGAAGAATGCTCCTCTGTGAATCACTGGAATTTGAAGAGAAACTTGGAATGTATAACCTGAACGGTGTCATGGTTGCCTGTGGCAAATGGCTATGTATCTGGAGAGATTCTACCTGCTTGGGTAGAATCCCAGAAAACTGGGAAGACCCGAGTAATACAGTCAAGTCCTTAATCCACATCCAGAACAATTTTATCCTTTAGTGGACAGTAGTGTAATTACTTATTTTGAAACAATTTGATTGGGAGTGTGTGAGAGGTATCAATGTCTTCTTATATCTGTGTCATTAGTGAAAGTTTGCTATCAGTAAGTCTTAGATCCTGTTCCTGTAATTTCATGTTTAATGCTTTTCTCTCCTTTCTGCCATTGCCATTATGAAAATGAATTGAAAAAGCAAAATGATAGCAAGATATTAAAATTGCCTTCATCAAAATACAGCTTGAATGAGATGGTACAGTGACTCTGAAAATGAAAACAAAAAAGCTTCGATGGAAGACAAAGCAGAAGACATTAAATGGAAATACAATTCCTAACAATGAAGTAGGATAAAAACATTTTTAAAAGGAGTCTTTATAGAGCAATGTCTTGACTTTATAATGTACTGTAGTCTAAAGTAGGACTAATCAGGAAGAAAATGTTCTACAAAAAGCCTTTCTATAGATAGATAGATGCTGGCAGGAGTGATGGGAATTAATGTTTCTACGTGACAGCCAGCTCAAACAACATAAGTGGAGTCAGAACACTGCTCAGTATCACAAATTAACAAGTTTAATGATTGGTTACAGGAGAAATAACCTGCAAACCTAATAAGAACCATACTAGCTCAGAACTCAAGCATTACATTAGTCAAAGTAGTATATCACTTCACATGCCCTTGAAGGGATGTTGAATAATGAAACTTTTTTTGAAGGGAGTATTACAATGAACTGGAAAGGTAGCATCTGTATTTACAGACAGAATGTGATAATTGAAAATGTACAAATTATAGAGCAATAGATGTAATATGTATCATTATATCCATATTTCACACTGAAGCAAATAATAATGTTTGGACATCCACTAAGTTACAGATAATTCTCTAAAATGCCTTTGGAAGCCAATGGCTTTAAAGTGTGGCTAAAAAGTATCTATTGAGTTTTCTGATAAATTCCAACAGGGACCTTGTTTTCTAAAGGTTTTCTTAGAAGAAAATATAGGCAAGAGGTAGAAATGAAGCCAGAACTCCTGCTATAGTACCAGCTTTCTAGTGGAACTGTGAGAAGAGGCTATCCAGAAAAAGATCTTTCCATTGGACACTGCAGAAGCTTGCAAGTATTTCGCTCTGAATATTTGCAGTTCATATGTATATGTAGTATTTTTTTTTTTACCAGAACTTGATTTCCTACCCTGTAAAACCCTGTGGCATGTATTAAAGAGCAACTGGAGTGGCAGCTCGAAGTCTCCCAGAAGAATGATTTAATCATCGACTGATAAAGACTATGGCAATAAATTGTGATAACTGTTATGGCCTGCCTGCTTCTCCTTCTGTTTGGAGAATGGTTGTCCATTCAAGTCACTTCATCATATTACATCTATTAAACAAATGTCTTTAAAAAAAACTATTCAGACAAGCTCTTTGCTTAGTGGACAAAGGTAGGAGGAGTAAGGATAGGGCTAATCAGGAATGGGTCTCTTCCAGGAAAAAAATAACTTTCCATTTTTTTTTTTTTAACTCAGACTTAAATATTTTTAGTGATGTGTTTTTCAACACCTTCCCACTGAAGAAGGTTTTGTGAGCTTGCATCTGTGTTTTTATCCTGCTGAGTTTGCTCTGAGTTATTCTTTGTGCTTTCACAAACTCGCTATTACTTTTTCCTTTTTTTTTTAATTCTTCAGTAGGAAGGACTGGGGTTTTTTGTGTCCAGTTCTCTGTATGGCAGTGTCTAGGTGAAACATTTTCATATTAGATTACCCATATGCAATACCACTGCTTTAAGGAATAGGGCATGTGAAGATCCTGTTGGAAACCATGCTCTTAATTATTTTTAATTCTTCTGAGCATATGCATTTCATCTTGAATTAAAATGGATACAGTATTCTTTTCATAAGAGTAAAGACATCTCCATTTGTAGTCAGTCTTTCTTGCCATTATCATGGTAGGACTTATGCAGTGTTTGCTATATTCTTGGTATTGAGTTTGCATGATATGGGATAATTTGGATGAAAAAGGAAAAAAATTCCCACCCCATACCTTGGTTTTATACAGCATGTATTTGCACTTGAAGTATTCCCATGAAGTGGGCATATTTTGAGTTCGGTATTCATGCCTGTATACTTTAATTAAAAAGTTGTTCTTTTTGGAAGAATAAATTCTAATTAAATTTTATTGGTTGAGTAGTAGCAGAAGGGTTTAAAAAATAGGGTGATATTTTCTTAATTAACAGAGTTACTAACATAACATTCTAGCTTTCCTTAGCACCAAAATAATTTGCCATGACTTAATGGCACCTAGATTATAAATGAGATCAGAGGAACAGACACAGACTAATAGGTGGCATTCTGAGCCCATTACAGGAAAAATCATAGTTTTGCTGCAGTCTGAGGAGCACAGACATTATTTAAGAAATTATGTTCAGATGTTTATAAAATAACTTCAGAGATAAAATAACTTAAAAAATTATACCAAACTTGACACAAAAAGAATGTGAAATGAAGGCTTCCATGTTTTCTTCATTTGAACTGTAGATAATCTGCTGATGTCACGGATTTCCATGCCTCCTTTAAAAATCTGGTTAACTGTTTTGTATGCATAGCTGCTTATAGATATATGATTATTGCCATGACTTAAATCTAATGAACTATTCATAAGCAGCAGAGAGATTTCTGAGTGATTTAAAAGTGTTTGAAGTTGCTTGCCTATTCTCACTTTGTCTTACTCATATTCAGCAATGCTTTTGCTTTATTTCTTTGAAGGAATAACTACGGTGTTGACAATGACGACACTGAGCATCAGTGCAAGACATTCACTGCCAAAAGTATCCTATGCTACTGCCATGGACTGGTTCATAGCAGTCTGCTTTGCCTTTGTGTTCTCTGCTCTTATTGAGTTTGCTGCTGTCAACTATTTTACTAATATTCAAATGGAAAAAGCCAAAAGGAAGACAGTAAAATCCCTTCTTGAATTTCCAGTTGCTCCACTACAAAGAAAAAGAAGTACAGAAGAGACACTCATGGTAGGTTTTCAGCCTGTGTTAACTTGTTTATCTTTCTGGTACAGTTTCTTGGTAAAAAAAGGCCTTTAACTTCCTTCTAAGGTTCCCTCTGAGCTAGTGATGCAGTAAGTCAGCCTAATGGAAGGCTAATGCTACACTGTATTAAATGATGAAAGCTTGTAAAACATGACTTAATTTTTACTTGCATTATTAGATTAACTCAGGAGAGAAGAAAGTTGTGTCCATCCATACTTGCAGTCTCTTCTGTTATTTAGTTGTGTTTTGGCAAAGGTCAGTTAGGATGGGCATCTTTAGAAAACTTTCTTTCCCTTTTGCACATTGATTCTGATTGGATTGATTATACAGACCAAGGTATTGCATATTGTAAGGAAAGCATGATATCTTATGGGCTATAAGGCTAACAGGCTAAGCTAATAGGCTAAGGCAGTACAGTAATACCTTGGTGCACTTCCTTAGATATCACAGTTCTCCTTTCATTGCGTGTATTGTATATTCAGAGTTTTCTTTCTTCATGAGACACCTAGCTAACAAAGTCACTGCAGCACCTGCACTGACATGTGGTAGGCCAGTAATTCGTAGCCATGGCTGACTTCTGGCAACACCACTCAAGAAGTAAGATGCTGACAGCAGCAATGTAATTCACTCTTCCTGTCAGGCTGACTTTGTAGTTTCCTTTGGCTGAGCCATAATTTAAGAACTGCTGTTCTAGACTGACTCTTGGTAATTTTGTCTTTTGTCTCTTTCATATCTCATTTGTCTCTTTTCCTATTCATCTGCTATTTTTTTTTTTTTTTTTTTGCCTTCCCACCCCTTCCATTTGCTATTGCTGCTCAGCTGCTGTCCTCCCACTTCCATTTTTCTTTCTCTTCTTTGCTGTCCTACCATAGAGTGATACTGCTTTCAATCTCCTGGCTGTGTTATTCTGTTAGCTCCCATTTCTGCTTAAACACATAGATGTGCTCCTGAAGAGTGTGTTACTCATCACTCTGGGAACAAGAAAAAGTATGTTTATGGTGGTGTGGAGTTGGCTGTGTACAAAAAGATACTAGTGCCATTAGTTTGTGTTAAGCTTCTTAATTGTACAGCATGCAGTTTAGTATCTCATGCACTCCTGAGGAGGGTTAATAACTACTGCTTTTGGTGATAGCCAGGTTTCACTTGAGTCCATAGGAATATAAATTGCACAAGAACAGTTTCATCCTAGGTTTCTTTGCAAGATTTGAGTAAAACAAAAATTTAAAAATAGTAGATTTCTCAGGTAGCAACTATGGGGGCTTAACAAAATTGGTTTGGTTCATGGTCAGAATTGCTGTGTCAGTCTTGTATCATGCTTAGCCACTTGTACACATGTTTTGGAAAAACTCTTCTTTGTATTTCTTCCCCTACCCTCCCCCCCCTTTATTTTTTTTTAACAGCAGCAACAACAGAATACATCCAGATTGAGAGCTTGGTAAAATGTGAAGTGAATAGTTCCATTCCACTGCTTAATTAATTATTCTGTGATAAAAGTGGTCATGTGCTTACAGATTTGGGGATTTTGAAAGCCCTCAAGGAGAAATCTACTTTTTAAAGGGTTACACATTAATGTTATGAGCATGTGAGTGAGTAATAATGTTGATTGTACGTTGAGCGCTTGTGTGTGTTTGCTGGTTGGTTTGTTCTGGTTTGTTTGTTGGGGTATTTTAACAGCTTTTTCTGCACTTATGCCTATGCTAAGACTTGAGTCTTTGCTCTTCCAGGACAGGAGTACATGGTGAGAACACGGATACTGTTATAATAACTTACCTACCATGCAGTTCTTTGCATAAGTAGAGGATAACTTCTGTTCCGGTCTCCTGCTGCACAGAACAGAAGCTAATTTGTTTTAATTTGCTAGAAGCTTATATGGGTGTTAGACTCTGCTTTCCAACCTAATGTATAATATATCCTTTCCTTAAAATGTTTAGTTTTGCTTATGAAAGACTAATCTAGAATTTTCTTATGCCTTATTATGGATCTGACTTCCCCCCCCCCCCCCCCATACTGTCTAATCTGTGCTGATTTACCAGAGCTAACAGAATCTCATTTTTCCTGTGAGTTTGTGGTGCAAAGAATGTAGAACAATAGCCTGCCTGTAGCATGTAATCTGTGAGCATTGTTTCTTACAAGTTTCATCTCCATAGCTAAATGATAGGTTTTGAAATCTTAACCCACTTTATGTTTAAAAAACAGTCTGTAGTACATTGCCACTATTGCATTAGCAACTCTGTTGTTAGCAATACAATTGCCAGAGCTCAAGGGAAAGTTTTATATTAAACTTGAAACTTCAGAGAGAGTTCGACTAGTCTGGTAAATTTGTCAGTATTCCAAAATTCAAAATTTTTACTTAGCCCATGAGGGAAATGTGTGTAAATTGGGAAAAAAGATGACCAAACACCTAGACCATACTTTTTTTTTCCTAGTGCGTATCTCACCATTTGCAACTTGCTTTGGATCTTCTAAAATTGGAAAGGGAGACTTCCCTCTCTTACACCTCATAGTCCTGTACTTTTGCCCACCTTGAACTGGCATACAGAAGGTTGCACTGGCTTTTCACGGTTGAGGTCCCATCTGTGTAGGTGCCCTGAAAACAGAAAACATCCAGAGCAGTTGAGGCTGTTAAGGAAACCAAACAAGGTGAAAGTATACTTTTAAAGGCCTTAATTTTGTGGGCTGTTGTTCCTGCATTATTCACTGGGTGGTTACATGCACTAGCTTTTAAATTTTATTTATTTTTTACCTCAGGTAACATGGTTGGATTGTCCTAGAAGGCTTCTGGGATGGAGTAAGTTGGTCTGTGAAACGAGATTTCCTGTAGGACATAGGGATTTTACTATTCAATAGTACTAGAAATTAAGTATATTAATAGTACATTTTGGTAAAATAAAGATAAATTGCATGTAATTGGAAGTCCTTTTTTAACATGTATGTGACTGGTTTCTGACCATAGAATTAAAGTGGGTTTCCTATACTGAATCAGTTCATATATTATTCATGCTAATTAGAATTCTTGGTGGTGTGGTGGTGGTTTCTTTTTGATCAGGAGCACTTTTCCAGATGTCTGGGATCAAAGGCAACTCTTCTTGTTATGATCAAATGATTTGGGATGTATTCATATCGTATATTCACCACAGCCAGTACATCTTTACTGTAGCAAATGTGGACTATATTCTTTTCTAGGTTATTCATTTGTGTAATTGTATTTAATTTTTTTGAAACCTTATGGTGGATGATGGACCAATGTATTGATTACAGTAAGCATTAAAAGAATTTTGGAGGATAGCTAAGTAATCTGAACTGTATTAACTCCAACAAAAAATTAGTGGGTTGGGGGTGGCAGGAGTGAGCCAGTAGTGCCTGCAGATGCAGGTGTCCTCCTCTATCACTTGATTTGGTTTTAGCCATGGTCTTATGCAGCACCTTTTTACCCTTCTCCGCTCCCTGCCTCATTTCAACTTTCTTCTTGTTGCCTGTAACTTTCTGCTACAAACTTACCGTGTCACCATAAAAAGTGCAGTTCTGCGGTAGACATCCTATGAGTAGGGTCCAAGCTTGCTTTAGGTCTGCCTTGAGTTCACAAGGAACTTGGACAGACTCACTCATCCCTTCTGTCACGCACAGTAAGACCATACTGGAGTATGTCTAAGCCAAGACAGATGACTTACACCATGGTCTCGTGTGATTTTGTTGTCTTTGGAACAAGTTAAAATGATTTCAGGTTAGAAGGAATTTCTTTACATTGAGGGTGTCAGAGCACTGGAACAGGCTGCCCAGGGAGGTTGTGGAGTCTCCCTCTCTGGAGACATTCAACAGCCTTCTGGACACGTTCCTGTGTAACCTGCTCTAGGTGGCCCTGCCTTAGCAGGGGGGTTGGACTAGTTGATCTCCAGATCTCCCTTCCACCCTAGTGATTCTGTGAGCCTGACCCTAATGTTCCGAACTACTTTCTTTAGTAAGAGCAGAAATGTTGTGCAAGTCAGTGTGTGATGGAAATGAATGATTTATAGTTTGTTATTGGACTTCTGAGTCTATTTTTATGCTTCTGCACTATTTCCTTCTCACTGTATTCCTATGAAGTTTATTTTTAAAGATGTCCTGGTTTCATCTGGGATACAGTTAATACCTACCCTGTTTTGGAGATGAAGAATGCTACTGAAAGGTAGTCTTCAAAAAACAGGCTCCTAAACACTGTTAACATGAGCTTCAACCTCAGCTGTTTGTTAAAAGAGTGTGAAACTTGGAAAAAAACAGTTCAGACTCAGAAGACCCTTTTGAATGGAATAATTTCATTAAACTCAGTCAGAAGTAGATTGTAACTCTCAAATTTCTCTTCTGTTTTCTGAAGATAGTTAAGTGTCACGTCTTGAGTAAGCCACATAGCAATCTAATGGAGGAACTAAAGGGTCAAACTTCACTGCCATGTAGGCGTGCACTCCTCTCCTTAGTAGGATGACATGTGATTATCATGTACCTGGCAAGTTTACAAGAAACATTTTCATGTGCGCAACGTGCATATATGCTTTTATATGTAGTCAAGGTGTATTTTATGTTGCTTGCTTTGTGGTCATACGATGGACAGAGCTGAAGTGATGTGATGGGGTGTGGGAGGAAAGTGGGGATCCTTTGGCAGCTTTTTGTGAGCAGATGTCTAGAATAATTTGTCTGGATCAATTAATCTAGCTCATGCCCAGTTCTCTGCCTCATCTCCTGACTTCCAGAGTAAGGGTTCAGCTGAATAAATAGCTCTTATGGGCTGGGTACAGTTCAGGGGCTATAGGCTGGATACTTCTCTTAGTGCATGGGTATGCTGAGCTTTTTTTTTGTTGTTGTTGTTGTTGTTCTTACTCCCCAGAGTTGATCAGTGCTGAAACAGCAGCAGATGCACTCTTGTTTCTAAGGCTTAGACTGTAAGTGAAAGTGGAAATGTTAACCTTTGAACCAAAACTTCTTTTTGACTATGTAGACATAGTCTGTAATGGAGA